ATCGAAAATTTAGAAACAGCAAAAATTGAAAAATCGTAGCACTAAAAATAGGTTTCGGAAAATTGAGAAAATAAAAAGTTAAAAAATCGAGAAGTTGAGTCGAAAAATTGGAGAATTAAAAAACCAAAATATCGAAAAATTAAAAAATCGAGAAATCGAAATTTTGAAAAATCGAGAAATTGAAATGAAAAACCGAAAAATCGAAAAGTCGGAAAATCCATTGATCGAAAAATCTAAGTTTAGAAACGCCAAAAATTGAAATATGTATTGAAAACCCAAAAATTTAAAAATCTAAATAATTAGAAAATCGGAAGACTGAAATATAGGAAAACTGAGAAACCGAAAATTTGAAAAATCGAGAAATTGAATTGAAAAACTGAAAAATCGAAAAGTCTAAGAATCGAGAAATCGAAAATTTAGAAACCGCAAAAACTGAAAAATCGTAGCGCTAAAATGAGTTTCGGAAAATTGAGAAAATGAAAAATCAAAAAATCGAAAAATTAAGTCGAAAAATTGAATAATTAAAAACCGAAATTTCGAAAAATTAAGAAATTGAAAACTAAAATATCGGAAAATTGAGAAATCGAAAAATTAATATATCAAAAAATCATGAAATCAGTCAATCAATCAATAAATCCAATTTCTCTTTCACGTTGACGTTAAAAGACGTCAGAAAATCAGTGGCGTTCATTCCAAAGCAGACAAAATAAATTTAACAAATACAACAGCAAAATTAAATAAAAATCGATGACATCAGTAATTTAGGCGTTTCCATTTTTTTTGTCCATGATAGTATATTAGAAACATTAAGTAGATGGTTAAATGCTAGCCAAAATTTTGCTAATCATCCCCACCAAGAATTTGATGATGTCATTTCAAAGAATTCTATGTTTATTTGATTTAACTGTTACACAACAATATAGTGTTGTAAGTGTTCTGTACGAATCAGCTTTGAGTTTTTCTTTAACCGTCCAAATTTTTGCAAAACCATAATACACGGTATAATAGTAGTTTACCATTAGCGTAAGGCATCCCGGTGGTGGTCTAGTGGTTACTTAATTAATTTTAGTTAGTTAATTTTTTTAATAATGAAATTACCCCACTTTCTTGAAAAGGTGAGAATACGCCTCTTTTCATTTAAAAATGTAAAAGCTTCTCGGTGACGTCAAATGTCTTTTTTTATTTTCCCAACTGTCTTTTTTTTAAGAATGTGAAACCTTCTCGGGGGCGCCAAATATCTTTTTGTTAATACGAAACCTTCTTCGGGGTCCCAATTGGCTTTTTTAAAAATGTAAAACCTTCTCGGGGGCGTCAAATGTCTTTTTTAAGAACGTGAAACCTTCTCGGGGGCGCCAAATATCTTTTTTTTAATGCGAAACCTTCTTCGGGGTCCCAATTGGCTTTTTTAAAAATGTAAAACCTTCTCGGGGGCGCCAAATGTGTTTTTAAGAATGAAAAACCTTCTCGGGGGTCCCAAGTGATTTTTTTTAAGAATGTGAAACCTTCTCGGGGGACCCAAATATATATTTTTTTAATATGAAGTCTTCTCCTGGGGTCCCAATTGGCTTTTTTAAAAGTGTAACCCTCCTCGGGGGCGTCAAATGTATTTTTTAAGAATGTGAAACCTTGTTGGGGGTCCCAACTGGCTTTTTTAAAAATGTAAAACCTTCTCGGGGGCGTCAAATGTCTTTTTTAAGGATGTGAAACCTTCTCGGGTGTCCCAACTGTTTTTTTTTTTAAGAATGTGAAACTTTCTCGGGGGCGCCAAATATCTTGTTTTTTAATTCGAATCCTTCTCGGGGGTTCCAGTTGTTTTCTTTTAAATGTAAAACCTTCTCGGGGGCGCCAAATGTACCTTTTTTTTAATGTGAAACCTTCTCGGGGGTCCCAATTTTTTTTTTTTTAATATGAAACCTTCTCGGAGCCCCAAATGTCCTTTTTTTAATGTGAAATCTTCTCGGAGGTCCCAATTGGCTTTTTTAAAAATGTAAAACCTTCTCTGGAGCGCCAAATACCTTGTTTTTTAATGTGAACCCTTCTCGGGGGTTCCAGTTGTTTTTTTTTTAATGTAAAACCTTTTCGGGGGGCGCCAAATACCTTTTTTTATTGTGAAACCTTCTCGGGGGTCCCAATTGGCTTTTTTAAAAATGTAAAATCTTCTCTGGAGCGCCAAATATCTTTTTTTTAATGTGAATCCTTCTCGGGAGTTCCAGTTGGCTTTTTTAAAAATGTGAAACCTTCTCGGGGCCGCCAAATATCTTTTTTAATGTGAAATCCTCTCGGGGGTCCCAATTGTCTTTTTTTTAATGTAAAACCTTCTCCGGAGCGCCAAATGTTTTTTTAAGAGCGTGAAACCGTTTCGGGCGTTCCAAATGTCGTCTTTTATGTAAAACCTTCTCGGGAGTCCCAACTGTCTTTTATTAACACTGTAAAACCTTCTCGGGGGTGCCAAAAATCTTTTTTTTTAATGTGAAACCTTTGCGGGGGTCCCAAGTGGCAATGCAAAACCTTTTCGGGGGCGCCAAATATGTTTTTTTAAAATGTGAAACCTTCTCTGGGGTCCCAACTGTCTTTTTTAAAAATGTAAAACTTCCTCGGGGGCGCCAGATATCTTTTTTTTATGTGACACCTTCTTGGGGATTCCAGTTCGCTTTTTTTAAAAATGTAAAACCTTCGCGGGGGCGCCAAATATCTTTTTTTTTTAATGTGAAATCTTCTCGGGGGTTCCAACTGGCTTTTTTAAAAACGTAAAACTTTCTCGGAGCCCCAAATATCTTTTTTTTATGTGAAATCTTCTCGGGGGTCCCAACCGTCTTTTTTGAAAAAAATCAAATCTTCTCGGGGGCGCCAAATATCTTTTTTTTTTAATGTGAATCCTTCTCGGGGGTTCCAGTTGTTTTCTTTTAAATGTAAAACCTTCTCGGGAGCGCCAAATATCTTTTTATTTTTAATGTGAAATCTTCTCGGGGGTTCCAACTGGCTTTTTTAAAAATGTAAAACTTTCTAGGCGCCCCAAATGTCTTTTTTTTATGTGAAACCTTCTCGGGGGTCCCAACTGTATTTTTTGAAAAATGTAAAATCTTCTTGGGGGCGCCAAATATCTTTTTTTTTAATGTGAAATCCTCTCGGGGGTCCCAATTGTCTTTTCTTTTTTTAATGTAAAAACTTCTCCAGAGCGCCAAATATCTTTTTTTTATTGTGAAACCTTCTCGGGGGTCCCAATTGTCTTTTTTTAAAAATGTAAATCCTTCTCGGGGTCCCAAATGTCTTTTTTTTCTGTGAAACCTTCTCGGGTGTTCCAACTGTCTTTTTTTAAAAATGTAAAACCTTCTCGGTGACGCCAAATATCTTTTTTTTTAATGTGAAATCTTCTCGTGGGTTCCAACAGGCTTTTTTAAAAATGTAAAACCTTCTCGGGGGTGCCAAATGTCTTTTTTAAGAATGTGAAACCTTCTCGGGGGTCCCAACTGTTTTTTTTTAAGAATGTGAAACCTTCTCAGGTGTGCCAGATGTCTTTTTAAGAATTCGAAACCTTCTCGGGGGTCCCAATTGGCTTTTTTAAAAATGTAAAACCTTCTTGGGGGCCCTAATTGTTTTTTTTAAGAACGTGAAACCTTCTCGGGGGTCCCAAGTGGCAATGTAAAACCTTCTCGGGGGCGCCAAAAATGTTTTTTAAGAATGTGAAACCTTCTCAGGGGTCTCAACTGTTTTTTTTTAATGTGAAACCTTCTCGGGAGCCCGAAATATATATTTTTTTTAATGTGAAACCTTCTCGGGGGCCTCAAATATATTTTTTTTTAATGTGAAACCTTCTCGGGGGTTCCAACGGGTGTCTTTTTTTTAAGAATATTAAATTGTCTCGGGACTCTCAACTGTCTTTTTTTAAGAAGGTGAAATCTTCTTTTTTTTTCTATTACACTGTGACTAGTATCTTCTATATTGTTTTTACTTAATAGAAAAGCAAAAGGAAATTTTATAATTTTTCAGAGAAGCCGGACTGTACTTCAGAAGCGAGGGAAGTTCTGTCTAAATAACTTTCGACCAATTTTTTTTATGTTAAACGTTTAGATTTTTGGAAAAAAACCAAAATCAATTATTGAGAACTCTTTGTGCTTATATTTAAAAAGTAATGGTTGTATTGATTAAATAAAAAATGTTTATCGAAGTTTCCCAGAGTTCCAATACGATCAGTACTTTTGGCATCATGCGCTGTTTACATATCATCGGCTGTGATATGTGTTGTATTTAAATTCCCTGTCTTGGCTTTTGCAAATATCAACTAAGAAAGTAAAAAAGGTAAAGATCCTTGCCAATTAGTAATATCATATTTTACTTTAACAAACTTCTTAAATTTAAAATTAGAGCAGAAATATAGATGAGTTCATGTTCGGAGATGCGAGTTCCTTTAATTTTTTCTGAAATAAAATTTTATTGCGCCACTTCCACAACATTCTTGTAGCGGAAGAACAATGCGGGTGTCCCCCATACAATCCGTAGGTATTAAATTACCAACTGTCGTAAAAGAAATCTTAAACCCATTTGTAAAAGAGGCTTCATTATCTTTTCCTGCTTTAATCCCAGTTATGAACACCCACATTTAAAATCCGTTTAGTACTTACGCCGAGTTTAGAATATTTACATAACTCGAGCAACATTGAGAAAATCCGAAAATCGATTTTAATCAACAAGAGTCCCTCTTTTTCCCGTCTTTCCTTCGCGTTTATTTTCCTCCAAACTTTCCCTTTTATAGCGAACGCCGCCACACTTTAATCAGCTAATTGCACCTAATTATATAATAAAAGCCGCCCGGCTCAACTTAAGAATTATTTGATTAATCTGTTTGTTTACGTTGACCAACCCAAGAAAACACGAACATACACCAAAATTTATAGTGTTGTACTCGATATAAATACCATCTAGGTTATGACCCAGTAAAGTTCGCTAAATATACATTTCTCATTAACTAAAACGATCGTGACAATAAACTATCAAATTTTCAGATTTTAGCATGACCCACACCCGCGAAGACGCCATCATGGAAACCACAGTTACCACGTTCGGGAAGCAGAAATTCGTGACCATCTCGAAACCTTTAGCTCTGTTTCTTTGTCTTCTGTTTGTTGGGTGCATCGTCGGGACTGCCCTTTTGGTCTACCACTTGTCTTCCTGTCAGGAGTTGTCCAAAGTGGAGGAGTCGACTCTGGTTGTCTATAACAAGAAATATGCGGAAACGGTTACCACCACCACGGAGATTCCTCCCTCCAGCGAAAGCGAAGAAGTTGTCACAACAACCGAGGAAAACAATGTGAAAAGCGAAGTCGAGGATGTGAGATTGCCGAGACATGTTCTTCCGCATTCCTACGACATCAAACTCGTCCCTTTTATTGTCGAGGGGAATTTTACATTCCATGGAGAAGTTATGATTGTGGTTAATGTGACTGTTACTAGCGATAATATTACGTTACATGCTGATGACTTAATTATAGACAACGTTTTAGTGTGTGAACACTTGACTAACAAATTTCTTTCAATTAGGCAAGTCGCTAATGAAACCAAACGACAGTTTTTAATAATTTATTTAAATGAACCGGTTGAAGCTGGGCTTCAGTATTACGTCAGTATTAAATTTAAGGGAGTTTTAAATGACTTGCTGCAGGGGTTTTATAGGAGCTCGTATAAGGACAACGGCAAAGTAAGGTAAGAAGTGAGAGCTTACGGTGATATTGATAACTTATGTCACACTTGTGTAATACGGGTTGCCTACTCTACTTGCAATATCATTTCTTAAATTTTTACTTCCTCAGCGATCTTCATAGTTTCTAGAATTATGAAAAGTAGGTCCCCGTTTCCGTCTATGGTTTATCGTCTCTCAGTGATGTTATTACTAGATTAGATAATAATCTGCGAAATTATCAATACAAATTTTGAGTCCCCACACTTTTGGGTACCAACCAATAGTTGCTTGACTTCTTTAAGATGGATCGCCGCCACCCAATTCCAAGCAACCGACGCCCGGAAAGCCTTCCCTTGCTTCGACGAGCCAGCCCTAAAAGCGAGATTTCAAATCAGCTTAGCCAGACCCAAAAACATGACTGCCATTTCCAACATGCCGCAGATCGGTACTCCGGAACCTGTGTAAGTACCGTTGATTCTCGCCTTCCACACTACTCCTCCCTTGTCTTCCAGCGACGGTCTGCCGGACTACGTCTGGGACCATTTCCAACAGAGTCTTCCCATGTCCACCTACTTGATAGCTTTCGTCATCTCCGACTTCGAGTGTCTCAAAAACGGTACCTTTTCCGTGTGGGCCCGTCGCAGTGCGGTTTCCCAAACCAAGTACAGCCTACAAATCGGTCCCCAGATTTTGGAGTTCTACGAAAACTTCTTCGGGATCAAATACCCTTTGCCTAAGGTTGATATGATTGGTCTGCCGGACTTTTCCGCTGGAGCTATGGAGAACTGGGGTTTGATAACCTACAGGTAGTTTTAATATAGAGGTGGCGTTAGTTTGACTTGACGGGTTATAGGGAGTCGGTTTTACTCTATGAAGAGAAGGTTTCAAGTAAGGGGAGTTTACAGCGGATCGCCCATGTAATAGCGCATGAGTTAGCCCATCAGTGGTTTGGGAATTTGGTGACTCCAGTTTGGTGGTCAGACTTGTGGTTGAATGAAGGGTTTGCCACGTACGTCGAATGTCTTGGGGCCAACTCTGTAAGTACTCATTAAACCTCAAATTTCATAAGTACTTGAATAAGACTGACGTTTTAGGTCAATCCTCACCTGAAAGAGTTGGATCAGTTCGTCATTAACGACTTACATGGCGCCTTTATGCTAGACGCTCTAAAATCCTCACACCAAATATCCATCAAAGTGAACAACCCGGACGAAATCAATGACATTTTTGATAGAATTTCGTACTCTAAAGGTAAGTATACCAAGTCCGTGGTCTTCGTTAGACAACAAGTTTTAGGTGCTGCCATTCTTCGGATGATGCAACATTTCCTCTCCATGGAAGTGTTCCGTAAAGGCTTAAACCGATACCTTCAAAGTCGTATGTACAACAACGCCGAACAAGACGATCTTTGGAATACTTTAACCCAACAAAGCCACGAAGACAAAGTTCTTGATTCGGCCATCACCATTAAGGAGATAATGGATACGTGGACTCTTCAAACCGGTTTTCCTGTAGTAACAGCCTTCAGAAACTATGAATTAGACTCGGTGACTTTGTCCCAAGAAAGATTCCTTGTTAACAGTTTTAATAATAGCGCAAATTCGGTTTGGTGGTGGATTCCCATCACCTACACCGGTCCTGGAAAAGCCGTGAAGTCCACATGGATGCGCATGGAACCGACAATAATCATTAACAATTTAGATCTATCAGATGAAGAGTGGTTTTTGGTTAATGTCAACCAAACCGGCTACTACAGGGTCAACTACGACCAAAGAAACTGGAATTTGATTACGTCCCAGTTGTTGAAGAGGAACGGTCACTTAGTTTTTGACCCTAAGAACAGAGCGCAGCTTTTAGATGACGCAATGAATTTGGCGTCCGCTGGTTACTTGGATTATGATATTGCGCTAAATGTTACTAGATATCTGAAACAAGAACGAGAATTTGTTCCGTGGAAGGCTGCCCTCATCAGTCTGGATTATTTGTATGAGATGTTCGTACGGACTGCACACTTTCACAGATACAAAGTAAGTCCAAATGCCGACTAGATGTAGATGGTGTAAGTCTTTGGTTCTAGAATTACCTCTTGGCTTTACTTCAAGACTTTTACAAAGAAATCGGGTTCACCGAAGGCGAAAACGATCCTCAGCTTTTGGTGTACAACCGGTTTGAAATAAATTCCAGGGTTTGTAAGCTGGGAGTTCGGGACTGTGTGGTCAATGCAGTTCGGGAGTTCCAGACCTGGAAGAATTCTCCTGATCCGGATAAGCGAAACTTGTGAGTACCATACTTACAACTTTCTTGAAACCTTTTTTCATCTTTCATCTATTTCGTCACCATAGAATATCAGAAAACCTTCGAGAAATCGTCTACTGCACCGCCATAAGCGTCGGAGGACAGGAAGAATGGGACTTCGCCTGGCAGCGCTACTTGAACGCAAACGTAGAAAACGAGAAAGAAATTCTCTTGATGGCTTTAGGCTGCTCGAAGGAAATCTGGATTTTGAGTAGGTACCTGGAATGGGCCATTACTGAGAATTCCGGGATAAGGAAGCACGATTCTGCCCGCGTGTTTGCAGCTGTCACCAGCAACAGTATTGGGCAACAGTTGGCTTACAGGTTTTTGAAAACCCATTGGAATAGGTTGAGATCTTAGTAAGTTTTGGTACTTCTTTGGGTTGATAATGTAAACGAATTTTTTAGTTTGGGGGCTTCTTCTATGTCTTTGAGTAGCATAGTGAGGAGTTGCACCATCAGGTTTAACACTCAGTTAGAAGTCGACGATGTAAGTGGGACGATTTTGATTTTGATTTTGACTTTTTATAATTTGGAATTTCAGTTTAAGATGTTTCTCAAGATGAAGGAGAATGAGTTTGGGATTGCTTTAAGAACCGCCCGTCAATCTATAGAGCAAGGAGAGGCTAATGTTCATTGGATGGAACGAAATTCGGAGAGGATAATAAAGTGGTTGTCTACTGTAAATGTTTAAGTTTTAATTTATTGGACTTCCAGTGAAAAAGCACTTGTTAGATTGTAGCAAGAGTAGTCTTAAGTATGAAGAGGAAATGGAATTTACCGTCGAGAGTTTTATTTTTACACATTTGCTATGTAGTTTAGTTTTTGTATACCCGTATTATTATTGTTATTTATTATTTTGCCATAAACGTTTTATTTTCTTATACAGGGTGGTGCATACATATTTCGCTACACAGGAATGAGAAAATATAGAAGCACCAATTTGTGTACGAAATTAAACACTCACTAAAGAACGTAAAGTTAGCGTCTAGTTTTAATGTTTTTATCATCTATATTTGACGTGATACTGTAATATAATGGATAGATTATTTTTTTACTTGATATTTTTACAGTACTTTTGTTAAACACAAACGACAATATGTTTTTAAATTTACTGCAAGCGGAAGACGTTTACATTTTTCAAGTCAATATAGAATTTGTAGAATATGTACTTATTCAGTCTGAAGGAATGGAAATAAAAAAGTGAAAACCATAAACTGTTGTGTTAAATTGTCTTTTGTTGTTTTTGCAAATATCACACATATTTAAAAACGTGGTATTAATCTATGTACTAATAGAAATTATACAGACTGTATCCTACTAAGACACAAACAACATTCACTAAGTAGTTGCTTCCTATAGAAATAGCAGCGCTGGATATCTTAAAGTATGTTCTAAAGGTGTTTTCTAGTGTCTTCGTTACATTCAAGTTTTGTTCGGCGATGGTGATGGCACTGGTGACAGCATTTCTGATATCGTCGTCCAAACCTTCGGTACCACTGAATGTTGTCAGCTGAAAAATACCCATCAAAAATTGTTTTTAGCCACGAAGAACACAAACCTTGTCGATTTGAGTTTGCGTCGTAATAAAACTACCCAGTGTTACAAGCAACGAACTTGCAGTCGAAGTATCGCCGAAGCTGAAATTGTACCGTTAAATTACATCAAAGACATACTCCAGACTTACTGTTCCTTCAGTTGTTCATGAGTGTCTATGACAAAATTTAAAACATCTGTTACTCCTTCAGCGCCATTGGAATAAACGGACTGGAACACGTAGCGTGCGTCTTGACGCTTTACTTCTTTTTCAACTAGAATCATATTAAGGTACCTGCAATTCCGCAATAGTAAGACGCAAAAACAACAACAACAAGAGTTACATTTGTCGCGTAGTCGTATCTGATACACATCCCATAGCTTTGAGAATCGTAATCCTTTCGGTGGCCATGTTTGTTTCCATGTACTTGTTCAATATAAATCTAAAATCGTCCATGACACTGTCGCTTTGTTGTAGACCGGTGCAGTAGATAATGCTTCTTAGATTAGGACTTGGTCTGAAACGCCACCATTAGTAACAACCTTTCGTATTTTCTAATATACTTACTTGTTATCCGCTGAGTCTTCGTAATCCAGGAACTTGCTTCTAGCAGTAGAAATGCAGCTACTGTCGCCTACTTTGCAAGCCCAGGTATGTGCCAGTACTTGTTTCAGTGTATATATCTGGTCATCAGCATGTTCTTCCTCCATGGGAACCGATGTGTACAGTTCTGTCATCAGACTTTTAATAAACGAGTTCAAAGCATCCCGGACGTCACTATTTGCGGTTCTCTGTAGAAGGTATTCGAAACCGTTGAAAGCAGCAGACCACGAGTAGTACGAAGTGTCCTTCTTCAAGAAACTCAAAAAGTCGAAGACCTCGTTGTAAGTCTTCTTCCCGGCTTTCGCCAGGGTGAACTGATCGTCGATGATCTGCGCTCTGGTAAGCTCGTCAATATCATCCACGTTCGATGTTAGAGCGCTTGAAATTTTCGCCAGAAGAGCGTCATCGTAGTTCACACGGTAGTACCCTAATAGTATGTTAAAAATGGTCTTTTGAGTTCGTGTCAACTCACCAACTTTCTGATTGTTAAGAACGATCCAGCTGGCATCGGTCAACACTCCAGTCAGAGTGAGGTTTTCGCCAGGGACCAACCACGCCTTAGTCGCCGTTTTTTCGAATTCCGAGATATCCCCAGAAGTGGTGTAGGTGATGGGTACGTACCACGTGGTACCTTCTCCTTCTCCATCAAGAATAAATTGTTCCTGCAACTATGAGTCAAAATTTGGAAGTCACATTGTTGAATATGAACCTGACTGATGATAACGTCATCGCCGCTTGCGCTAACCGTGAGGATCGGGTAACCAGGTTTTTTGGTCCAGTTTTCCATAGTAATGTTCAAGAGTTCTGGAGGTTGCTCGGCTGTTGGAAGCTTGTTGACGTAAGTTTGCAACGCAGTCCAAAGGGCTTCAGAAGTAACAGTTGACAAGACACTAGAAGAGCAAATTTAGGTTTGGTCGTAATGTATGTATGTTATGGTTACTGGTTGTTAATGTAGTCCTTAATACCAAGTTTGAAGTTGTCGAGAGTTAGGAAATGGTGCACCATTCTTAGAATACTACCACCTTTGTTGTAGGAAACATCGTTCGTTCTGCTGCTATAATCGGCGTCAGAGGTATCATAAGATAAAGGTAACGCGGAACTGTACGAATCTGCTTCCAGAGCTGGATGGAGTTGCTCAATGACGAATTGTTTGGGCAGCTGCCAGTCTGGATGTTCCTTAAAGAATTTGTTTTTGAAGGCATTTTAGTAGGAAATTGACTTACGACATCAGCTGCATGGTACTCAAAGTATGTGGCGAAACCTTCATTTAGGAACATCTCGTTCCACCACTCTAGGGTGACGAGATCTCCAAACCATTGATGGGACAGTTCATGGGCTAATACTGTTACTACTTTTTGTTGGTAGTAATTCGATGACTCGCCTTCGTACCAGAGGAGGTCTTCCTCTCTAGAAATTTAATTGTATGATTTCATTCATTAAGTTATAATACTGTCATCGTAAAAAGAATAGAAAATAAGCAGATTACAAGATTTATTAAGCATTAATTGAGAGGATGAGGATATTTTAAATCTATTTGTCTTGTAATCACGGTTGGAAATATTGATAAGATATTGTTACTTAAATCCAATTTAGTACAACATAGATAACGAACAGAACAAATCAAAGATTATTTAAAATTTGGAAAAAGTTAAAATACACATCCAAGCCTTTATATCCAGCAGTTTAACTTCTGACGTTACCTGAAATTAACCAAACCCCAGTTCTCCATGGCTCCAGGTGCAAAATCTGGAATGCTGGCCAGAGTTAGCTTCTTCATGTCCTTGTAGGTATAATTCGTAAAATCTGACATGGTTTGGAGAATATGCGGAGTCACGTCTAGAGCGGTCTTCGCAGAAGTATCCATTGCGTTTATTTTTGAACAAAGCTGGATAGTGATCTTATTGAACGCATCTCCGTCCTTGCAATTGATGTCTCCTACCATGAAAGCCACAAGGTACGACGACATGAAAGGAGTTTTAGTAAACGTGAGGGTTTCAAGGTTAGCGCTAAGAAAAAAAAAATCAATAGTTGTTACCAACGTCGGTTGTTAAATTTGATAAGTTAAGCCTAAGATTATTTTGATATTCTGATAGCTGAAATTGATAACTTACTCTGTTGTGTCTGTCTTAGGGGTTGATCCAGCGTTGTTGAACCAAGCATGATATCCTTGCGGATACGTGATTGCAAATGTGAAAACAGCTTTCATTTCTGGCTCGTCGAAACATGGAAAAGCCTTCCTGGCGTGAGTTTCTTCGAACTGGGTGGCCAGAATGTACTTGGTTTGCTTGAAATCGTCAGTGTAGGTGCTTTTGTAAAAACCGACCATGCTGGTCTCGCTTAAAAAGCCCACAAATTCGATGTTCAATTTATAATCGTCACCAGCTTCCAGTTTTGTTGCCGGTACTATAGTCACCAAGTCCGTTTCTGGATCCGGCTGCGAGAAAGTAATACTAGTCTCGTTTGTTCCTTTAGTTAGAGTAACCGTCGTCAAATTTAATTCTTTGGCATGCAGTTGAAAAGACGAATCTTGGTTGGAAATTTCTTTAACGTTTAGTGTTATGACTTCAGTCCCAGTGTACGAATTCGTGGTTGCAAAATCTGTTTCCACGCGGATCTTGAGGTTGTAACTAGTGGGTAACACTTCACCTGAAAGTTTATTCGCAGAAGCGGCAAGCCGGGAAAGTGCATGGTGGTGCGCCGGGGAAGCGTTGCAAAAGGCGACCAGAAGCAGGGTTAAGAGTTTTACACTTCGCAGCATTTTGGTGACTAGATAAACAGAAATAAAAATCTTTACTGATTGATAGTTGAAGTGACCTTTGTTGATTTCATTTTCTGGTTATCTTATCTATTATACTTCATTGTTTTCATGCACACCTGAGTGCTTGAAATGGGTATAGGTCGAAGGGTCAGTGAGCGGAATGCGAAGAGTGGATTTAATATAATGATTCGACGTCATCGCTGATAATATTGCAGATCAGTCTTTGAGGTGTGAAAGACTGATAAAATTGGAACTTTGTGACTTTTATTATCACGATTTCTACAATTTCTGTTTAATGGAGTTTTCATAGAAAATTCATGCTGGATAAATAGGATTTTATTCTAATTTTATCTGCCTAATTGCCTTTGTTGAAAATCCTGGTGGCTACCGATGTTTTCTTTTTTTATTAATACGTTAATTATATCACGTTATCGCATATTTTTTATCTGATAGCAGAAGTACAATTCCACATATTACATGTAATCTCATCATGTAACTTTTTGTTAGTCGTACATTACATGATTCACTGGTATACATTCATTTCGCGGGAAACTGTCATAGCTGTTTGAATTGGTTAATTGTTGTTGCTTATTATAATAAAAATAATGAAACAACAGAAACGGAATGAAGAACTTGAGTAAAAATATGTACAAATCAAAATAAATAGAGTGTTGGCTACTTTAATGTTTTCTCGATCCTTAGAGTATGAAAAAATGTGTCTCCCGTTCAAGTGTGTTTGTCGCCTGCTGTCTATCGCCTATCTGTAGTCTATCTGCTACATTTTTCAAATAATCTAAAAGAGTACTAAGACACTTCAACTTAACGCTGGTTATAAAAGACATAGATAAGTAAGAGAAGCAAAGATATACTTATATTTTTATTACGGCTGATTTTTAGGTCATTTTAATTTACCCAAGTCATCATACTACATCGATCACTATCGATTTGGATTATCAACTATTATATTTATCTCATGATTTCGAAAGAATTGGTTGCCATAACTTTTTTTTTTTTTGATAAAAAATAAACATTGTATTACCAGTTGTAAATTTATTTCACTAATGATTCACAAAAAAGTTGATTTCCCGATTTTGCCAGTTTGTTGTCTGTCTCATTGGTGAGTTTATTGGAAAGATAATCTCTAAATTTTTCGACTGCTGCTCGTGAAATTTCAAGTGTAGGTACTTGAAAAATATTGTTCAGATGATAAACTACTATCAAATCCAACAATTGCTTTCGTGGTGACTAATTTTCTGCGAAAAATGCGAACGTGGAATATTTTGGAGAAAAAAGATTCTGTTTTCAGTTAAAAAAAAACAAGAAAATGTTTTAGGTTGAAAGGATATGGTCCTGTTTTTAATATTTTTTTGTAAAAAAGAGTTCGACCTGAATTGGTAAAAAATAAAAATTTAAAATATTTCGGTCCTTTTAAGAGAGTCGGTTTATCCAACTTCGGCTTTTTGAAACTAGAGAAAAAATAAAAATACCACCACTTTGAAAATTGTTTATGTACTAGCGACATCTAGAGATGTTAAATGAATTTAAATAGTAGAAAACTGTATCTACTCGTTAAGATTGTCAGAATCGTTACTATTTTAAGTTTTGGTTTGTTTGGTAGGTTTTACTTGGCTCTTTTCGACAACGAAACTAACCCTAAAGTGTTCCAGCTGTCATTAGATAAAAAAATCGTTCATAAAGAAAATGACAAAGTACAAGTGTTGGTGGATAGATGGCCATAGCGTACCAGTTACATTGGAAATAAGCCCGCAACGTGTGTTTTCCCAAATAACTTATAAGGGTCTGTTTTCAGACCATTCTTCTACCATTACTATTATTATCCATTACGTATTTAACAATTTTTTAAAAATGACTAAATTATAAAGAAAAGTATTAAGTAGGATTTATAAGTTTGCTGTTGACGTTGAAGTCGCAGTTGACGTTGCTTTTAGAACTGAAAATTGTTATTTATAAACTCCGTTGCCAAGTTGCCGTTGATAGTAATTTTGATGTTCAACTTTTGCTGTATTTAAAGGGGTTGTAGAAGAAAAGTGGACGATAAAATTTACCATTTTAGACATGTTTTAAGTTTTTTGTTGTCGAAATAAATTTACACATTTTAAGAAAAAAGGCAAAATGTAGCCCCGCCCACCCACCCTGTCTCAATTGTGATGATTTTTTCTATTCGTTGTGAGCCAAGAAGGCGAAGCTTAACTGCAAAATCCTTATTTCTCTACGAGAAATTAAAAGCATGTTTTTGAGCATCGTGAACATTATCTATATTAAAAAAAAAAAATAATAATAAAGCCAAAGATTAGGCTCCACCCATACCCGTCCCGAACTCAATTCTTAATTATGATGAATTTTGTAAAATTTGTCAAATCGAGGAGGGGGCTTAATTCTAAGATCCATATTTGCCTACAAGAATTTACCATTTTAAACGTGCATTAAGTTTCTTCTTCTGAAAAGACGACTACGTATATTAAGAAAAAAGGAAAAATATAAGCCCCGCCCACCCGCCCTGTCTCAATTGTGATGATTTTTTTTTATAATCGAGAGCCAAAGGAGCGCAAATTAATTGCAAAATCCTTATTATTTCTCTACAAGAAATTGCCATCTAAGACATGTTTTTAAGTATCGTGTTATTCTAAGAAAATTCTTAAGAAAAAATTAAAGCGCAGAATTAACCCTGATCTAAATAGTAGTGAAGATTCTATTCGTTGGCAGACCTGGGGGCGGAGCCTAATTGCAAAATCCATGTTTTCTTACAAAAATTTACCATATTAAATGTGTTTTAATTTTCTAAGAATAAAAAAATCACCACAATTCAGATGGGGTGGGTGGGCGGGGTTTATATTTGAATATTTTTTAAAATGACATTGTAACATTTGTATTGCTTTATTTCGGAATCACCTATAATCATTGTTTAAGTATATTATTAAATTTAAACAAATTTATAATACCACTGACGTTATTATTATTATTATTGATGTCATAGAGCAGAGGCAAGAGCCTATTATGCTCGACTCGAGGAACCCTGTACTGGGAGCTGAAATTCACTACCATCTCTATTAAGGGGGTGCTCGAACGACGGCTGGAACATCAATATATTTATATATACTTTTTTTTTTTTTAGAGATCTGTCTGGTGGTTATAAAGTTTATTTTTAAAGGAGGCAGTGCTACTTGACTCGATGAGATCTGAATCCAAACTGTTCCATACGTTGAAAACTCTGTTCGATAAGAAATTTTGACGCCATCTGGTCTTGTATTTTTGGTGATGCAACTTCATTGAGTGGCCGCGAAGATGAGAGGCAGCAGATAATTCAAAAATATTTGAAAGATCAATACCAAATTGGTGCGTAAGAATGTTGTAGGTGCACACAAGATCATTAATGATACGACGCTTTTCCAAAGAAGGAAGTTTAAGTAAAGAAAGTCTGACATCGTAAGGTTTATCCTTTAAAGTTTGCACAGTTTTTAAATAACGACGTTGCACTTTTTCTAGTAATTCTTTGTTTCCAATTAAGCTCGGTGACCAGATTACACTTGCATACTCTAAAATGGGACGTATGTAGGAGACAAGTAAAGTTTTGGATAATTCTTCCGTTGGACTTACAAATGCTTTTTGTATTAGATACTTGACTGTATTGGCTTTTTTAACTACAAGGTTGACATGTTCGGAGAAGGATAAATTGTTGTCTAATAGTACGCCTAGGTCCTTGATCTGATTAACGGGTTGTAAGACATGGTTATCAAGAGTGTATGGTATGTTTGGGTTATCTTTGCCCAGACGGAAAACGACACATTTTTTGTTGTTCAAGGGCATTAACCAAGTGGACGTCCAGTTCTGAGCTGTAAGCAAATCGCTTTGAATTATTTGGGAGGATGTTAATGGGTTTGTTAAAGAGTCTGTCGTCATCGGCGTAAAAAGCATGAGGTGATTTTAACAAAGACAGAAGGTCGGATATGTACACAAGAAACAGTATCGGGCCCAACATCGATCCTTGAGGGATACCTGAAAGCACTTCCCGGTTGGATGAATAACAAGAACCCACTCTTACTCTAAAGCTACGTCCTCTCAGAAAAGCTTGAATCCACTGGAGTAAGAGACCTCTGATTCCGATATTATCTAACTTTCGTAACAGCCGACGATGAGGAACGCGATCAAAAGCCTTTTCAAAATCTAAGTAAATAATATCGACCGGTTTATTTTGATCCAAAGATATCGTCCACGTGTTAAGGCACTGAAGCAAGCAAGTAACGGTAGATCTTCCAGGTAGGAACCCATGTTGGTTAGCAGAAAGTATGCTTTGATCGTTTAAAAATCGAAACATTTGATTCCATATGATTCTCTCCATAACTTTGCTGCATATGGAAGTAAGGCTGATAGGTCTATAATTTTCAGCTTTCGTTTTATCGCCTTTCTTATATATGGGTGTGATTAGTGCTTGGAGCCATATAGGGGGAAGAACTGAGTTCTGAAACGAAAGAGTCATAATGTGGGATAAAGGACCAGCAATCCAACTAGCACATTTTTTTAGTATAAGAGGAGATAAACCATCAGGTCCTGGCGAACTTTTTTCAGAAATTTTGATTAACTCTGCAAGAACCAGTTCTTCAGTAAAATCAATATTAGAAAGAAACAGTTCTTTATGGGGTGATAAACAAGGAGGTAGATTGGTATGAGGTTCGGAGGTGAACACACTTTGGAAGAAGTCAGCCAAGAGATTGGCCGATTGATGTTCATTAGCCGCAAGTGTGTTGTCGTTTTTGCACATAATTGGAACTGAGACTTTGGATAACATCTTTCCACGAACAAATTTGTATACCGCTTTAGGACCTCTTTTTGTAACGTTTAGTTCATACCTATATTTTTCAGACCGTATATCACTTTTTAACTTATTAGAAAAAACTCGATGTTGATCGTATTCATATTGAGAGCCAGAAACCTTAAATTTGTTCCACAACATTTTTTTTATTTTAGCTTGTTTTAGAAAATGAGAAGAGATCCAGGGCTTGGTACGAATATACTTAATATGGAAGGTAGTAGTGTTTTGAGAGGTGAGATCAGATAAGATATTAGTAAAAATATCCCAGGCTTCGATGGAGTTGGCAGTGTGGTAAAGAGAATCCCAGTTTATTTTGGCCAGGTCAGAATTTAGACCGTCAAAGTCGATCCTGGTGTATTCACGTCGTTCGTATCTTTCTGTTGGTGAAATGTGATACTGTAAGAAAGTTTCAATGACGCAGTGGTCAGAAATACCAATTGGAGGCTGTTGACTGATTTCGCATAAAAGATTGGGATCGTTCGTAAGAATTAAGTCTATTAAGGAAGGAGTTTGGCCAAAACGGAAGCGAGTAGGGAATGATACCAGTTGCATTAGGTTAGTTTCCAAAAGAAGGTCAGCAAATAAGATGGCGGAATTATCGTTGTCGAGCAGCTGTAGGTGCGGCCAGGAGATCTTGGGAAAATTAAAATCACCGAATATTAACAGGTTAGAGTAATGGCTGCAAAACAATTTAATGTCCTCGTTACTATGTCATTTAAAAGAAATTGAAAAATGTGACTTCGGTGAGCGCTAAATTTATTCCAAGTGGTAAGTATTTATCTGGGTGGAGAAAAGTAATCATTCAGTTGTCCTTCCAAAATGCTGATTGTTTTCAAGTTTCCTGTAGCTGATTCAACTGCTTTGTTACCAGCTGCTACAACACTCTCATCTAAACCTTCCGTTTTTAAGAACTCGCTCAACTAAAAATTACAGATTTACAGTGGGGACGAACAGTTTAACTAAAAAAACCCAACCTTATCAATTTGATACTCTTCTGTAATTAAATCAGCGACTGTGGATATCAAAGAAGTTAGAATGGATCTCAAAGAAGTGAGAGTGGACTGAGTTCCAAAGCTGAAATTTGTTTACTTAGAAAAGAAATTTTACTGGATAATTTCACCCACTGTGTTTCAAAGTCTTGATAGTTATTCTTTAGAAACTCCAACGTATCATCAACACCTTCGTTCCCGTTATTAGAGTACACAGACTGGAACACGTATCGCACATCTTGGATTCGGATTTTGTCAGTCAGCGCTAGCTTCAAATATCTGTAATTTAGAATTAGCTTTGAGAAAATTGAAAACAAGGATCAACTTACTCTTGTCTGAGAGTGGAATCGTTGATACATCCTAGAGCTTTGAGTATTGTCAATTGTTCGGTAGCTAGTTTGGTTGAAAGATATTTATTGTACAAAAAATTGTAATCTTCTGTAGGGTTTTCACTGTTTTTCAAACCGGTACAATATACAACACTTTTCAAGTTTCGACTTGGTCTAAAAATTAGAAACGGTTAATGAATGATTTTGACTGTTTCGAAATAGTTACATGTTGTTGTCCATCGTGTAACTAGTAAATGCCACTGTAGCGTTGTTAACACAGCTAGTTTCTCCTAGGTTACAAGCCCACGTTAACGCTAAAACCTGTTTGAGTGTGTAAATTTGGTCGGTTGGTTTTTCCGTTGTGAAAGGAACGGAATTTTTCAGTGTTTCCATCAATTCTTTAATATAATTCTAAAAAGAAACAAGAATAATTACTGGTGCGAATAGAAAACGTCATAATAGTACTTTCAGCAGGTTCCTTAAGCTTTCGTCTTTGGTTCTCTTAAACAAATAACTAAATCCATTGTAAAACGAAGACCAACTGTAATACGAAGAATCCCTTTTCATAAATGTCAAAAAGTTCAAAACATCTGCGTATTCTGCCTTGCCTGCTCTGGCTAGATTCAGTTGGTCGTCGACCAGTTTAGATCTACTCATCTCGTCTATGTTGTCGAGGTCATCAGAGTTGAGAGCAGTTTCAATTTTTGACAGAAGTGTTTGGTCATAATTTACTCTGTAATAACCAACTTGTTGGTTGTTTAAGATAATCCAGCTATCTTCATTGTCGAGAACTATGGTCACATCTGTATCTGGTGTTAACCACAGTTTTGTAGTTGTTTCTGTAAATTCAGATGGGTCCGCAGATGTGGTGTAGGTAATGGGGACGTACCATTGGGTTTCGTCGGTATCGTCACCAGACAACAAAAATCGTTTCTGAAAGATACAACTATAGATAATTTTGTGCGTTATCTTGTACTTACTTGAGAAATAGTTATGTTAATTCCGTTTTGCGTAAGCGACAGAAGGGGATATCCTGGTTTGTATGTCCAATTGTCCATGACCGTTTTCACAGTGTCTGGCACATCGTCAGGTTTAGACTCTTCGAAAGAATCCCACAGAATTTCAGGGTTAGCCACATTATGACCGCTAGAAAAAATATATTTTTGTATGTGTTTTAATAAAGGGGAGTAAAATGTCACTTGTTGTTAAGATATCTAGTAAGTCCTTGTTTAAAGTTTTCGATTCCAAGAAAGCTTTGCAACATTTTTATCACACTACCACCTTTATTGTAGGAAATATCACCAAATATGGTTTGAATTTCCACAGGATCATTCGTGTCGTAGGACAAAGGTTTTGAGCAACCACTAGAATCACTTAATAGTACAGGTTGGACTTCTGCTAGAACGAATTGTTTCGCCACTTCCCAGTCTTTTCGAATCTGTAAAAATATTGTTAACGCATTGTTAAGACCAAAGTTATCGTACTTCGGCAGTAGCGTGATATTCAAAATAAGTAGCAAAACCCTCATTCAGGAAAACATTGGACCACCAATTTGTAGTGACATAATCTCCAAAGTATTGATGAGCCACTTCATGAGAGATATCCATATAAATAATTTGTTTGTCGTAGTTTGATGACTGGTTTTCGTCCCATAGTAGATCAGATTCTCTGTAATTGTAGTTTTTATAAGACGAAAGTTAGATTCTGACTAGTACCTGTAGGTCATCAAGCCCCAGTTTTCCATTGCACCCACTGCAAAATCTGGAATTGCAACTTGCGTCATTTTCTTAATTCCCAAACTTCCGTATGAAATACTCAGGAAATCAGCCATTGTGTTAAGAGCTGCAGGAGCTGCTTCAAGTCCAACGGAAAACAATTCCTCTGTTCCCGGCCTTCCACAAACTTTCGTAGGTGTACCATCCGCAGTATTCGCACCATTTATGCACGTGAATTCTGCGACGATGAATGCAATCACATAAGTCGACATTACAGGTGTCGTTTGAAAGGTCACTGTGAGAAGACCATTTCTAATGGGAGAAAATAAAAATCGCTTTTTCACACTATAACGTCGACTTACCCTGCGTCAATTGGATCTGCTTTTGGCCTGGTATTGGATAACGCCATACTTGTGTTTGGATAGGTGATGCTGATGTCGAATGTTGCTTTAAAACTCGGTTCGTCAAAGCATGGAAACGCTCTTCTGGCTCCCATCTGTTCGAATTGAGTTGTTGCTAAATATTTTGTGTTTCCATCGTCGTCTGTGTAATTACTTCTGTAAAATCCATCCATATCTGTATCGCTAAGTTTCCCAGTATAATGTATTTCCAAAACGTAAACATATCCTCTTGTTATTGTTTGACTGCTTTTCATTGTAACACAGTCGTTGGTGTCCGGCCCCTCTGGTGTCAAATCTCTACTGAAGCCCGATTTCGCCAAAGTTACCTTACTAATTGTGAGGTCTTTTGCGTGGATTTGAAAAGAATCGGTGTCTTTGGCAAAATACAGCTCTATTTTTGCTATTCCATCAAACTTCCCATTGTCTAAATTATCTCTAGTTACTGTTAAATTCAGGTTGTAGTTCGAAGGTAGGACTAAAGTTGGGTCGAGCCGATTTCCAGAGGAAGTTCTTGGATTGATTGGCTTTTTCACCTGAATCCCGGCATATTTCTTTGGCATAGCTTCGCTGGTGATCACGAGTGCGAGAATACACAGTAGTTGCCACATTTTTTTTTCTCAATCATAGATTACCTACACTCTTTACTACTGTGATTGATCATTAGAACTAAGTGATATCTATGTATATATAAATGTACCTCTCTTTTTATCTAATCGTTCTTTGTGATTTCATTGCTGCTTTTTCTGAAGTGCTAAATCTCTATTTTTGAAAAAATCTGAAACATTTTCTCAAATTGCAGTTTTGTTTGAGTGGGAGCTGAATGATCCAATTCAACTGTCGTTATCACTTCAAAATTCTTGTTTCTTCATGTTAGACAAATTAATCACACTCAAAACTTACATTGATTGATGAGGTTGATTTTATCACAATGGATAATCTAGTCTAGCCTTTTTAATATCAAAATAGAAACATCTTTTTAAAACACACTTAAGAGACATTTATCACTTAAGAAAATTATATTTTAGAATCTTTCAAATACAAAACTCAACGACTTTTTATTTTTTCGTAGATTTGTACAACATTTTTTTCAAGAATTTTCTTTCCATTTTTACACTGAACTACCAACAGTTTTTAAATATGAATATTTGCTTCGTTAGTTATAAAATTGTGTGTAGTGGAAATGCAATTGGTTAATGTACAAAATTTTGGCTATTCATAATACACGAATATATAAAATTTGATAACAATTGGGACAGACATTCTGTCTAATAAAAACTGACACAGATGATACACAGACGGAAAAGGGGGACCAATTTTTTCGTATATTAGGGGTCTTCAAACGTCGAGAAAACTTGAAAGCTTAGGCACCGGAAATCATTCATATTGTTACGAAATAAACCCATACGTCGCCCCAGTACGACGCCTATGGGTCTTCTAGTATGTATGTGTTGCTTCTAGTATGTAGTATGACTCATCGAACGGGCGGTCTGGCGTTCGCTTCAGAAAAACCTGGAAGCAGAAGTCGCGAATGGGTGCTCCCGAGAAGTCTAGAAGCCGTGACGTAGGTTTACGAGAAGGACAGACAACGAGAACTAAATTCAGTTAACAAGTCGAGTCCAACAAGTGTCGAGAAAACCCAGTGAATGTCGCGCCAGAATTATTTTGTACCTAATCGCTTTGTAGTTAGTCGTGTAAATCCGAGTTATTAAGACATAAATTGTTGAGTTTTACCCACGCCGATTTTATTCACGGATCAACGTAAGACTGGTGTCGGAAGTGAGATGGTTTTACGATGACTTCCGGGCAGATTGGACAAGAATTCTGAAGAATTTATGCGTGTTTAGGCGAGAGCTCAAGCTACGAAAATAGAGGAACAAGTGAAGCAGATGATGGCTATGCTCGCAGAAATGAAAAAAGAAATCGACGAAAAAATGGACGCAAGTATGGAAAAAAGTATGCAAGAGGCGAACAAATCAACGCGAAAATGAAAAATATAGACGAGAAAATGTAAGCAAGAAACAAAGCAATAGACGAGAAAATGGACGCAAGAATGGAAAGAATGGGCTCAAACATGGAAGAAATTAACCAAAAAATGGACGCAAGAATAGAAAAGATCAGAGAAGAAATGAAGGATGTAAAAACAAATCTGGAAAATAGAAAATATTGTCGGACGAAATATGCTGGCAATGGAAAACAACATTTCTATGTTGTTTCGATCTTCTGATCGAATGAAAACTATAGAAGATTGAATGAAGACATTTGAAAAAACAATAAAAAAGTGCAGCAACCACACACAAGAATGATATGTATCTTGTAAGTAAAGGAGCTGGTACTCTGAGGAATGGGTTCGCTGGTGAGAATAAGGCCGCCAGCGAAGTGAAAATAAGAAGTTTCACCAGAGGTTCAACTACAGCCGGGAAGATTTATGAAAATCCTGCAGCAATCAACATCTATACTGTCGCTAAGGTATCAATTGTACGTAAAGGATTTGTGAGAGCTGAAGATGTAGAACCTATACCCGAAACGATCAGATTGAAAACTGTAACTGGAGAGTCGACACCAATTATGGGCGAAGCATCGGCAGAAATCTGTATTGGTCAGCGGAGAATAAGACATCGGGTTCTCGTAGCTAGCATGGAAGATGTCTTCATTTTGTGAATGGATTGACAATTGATCCAGTGAGGGAAGTCTTACGTCTTGGAAATGAAGAGTTTAACCTGCCAGATCGATCGCTTATTAGAACTGCAAACACTGCGACGAGGTTGAGCAGCCGAAAACACGGTTCAACCGCAGGAAGAAAGCAGTCGTGGAAGATGATGAATGGACTACAGCTCGGTGTAGAAAGGGCCAGGAAGAAGACAAGGATATTGGGCCGCTCCTCAGATGGAAAGAAGATGGGATGGAACGACCTGGCTGGTCGGAAATATCAGAGGAGTCACCATGCAGTTGGTGGTTCCGGCCACCAGAATCAAGACATACACAATGGGGGTTCGGGTGCTCATTTTGGATCAACAAGACGCTTTCTAAAGTTAGGGAGAGATTTTACTGGGTCCATTGCCGAGAAGACGTCCAGAGCTGGTGCAAAAAGTATAGGACCTGTGCGGCGATATAAAAAACCTAAGATTAAGGCGAGAGGGCCGATGCGACCACAGAATGTCGATTCGCCTTTTGGAAAAACTACAGGAGATATAGCGGGTCTCCTCCCAGTGACTGAAGAAGAAAACAAGTACACGAAGAAGGTCACAGGCTACGACGATGGCTTACAGGAGAAGTTGCCGAGCGTTTACGAAATACTGCACCACCAGAATAGAATGGCGACTGGTAGAATGAAGACACGTTACGACCCTAGGGACAACTCAATAAGATTCCAGACAGGGGATTTGATGTGGTTTTATAACCCCCGAAGAAGGAAAGGTTCTTGCCTTAATATGTTCAGATGGGAAAGTCCCTATATTGTCGTGAGCATCAACGATGTCGTTTACAGGATTCGACGAGGACCGAACAGGAAAATGAAGATTGTTCACTTAGGTCACTTCATGAAGTACGACAGTGACACCGTTGGCGTTTCTGATCGGGACGATCAGAACTAAAAAGGGGACAATGTTACGAAATAAATCTATACGCCGCCCCGCTACTGGGTTCTAGTAACAACGGCGTAGGGGAAGGGGGCCTAAAGCGGGCATAGAGCCTTAAGCGGGCACTCTCTTTAGTTTTGGCGTTTCAAAAGATGGTGCGCCCTAACCGCGCGGACATAGTGCATCCCCCCCCCCCGCATACTTCACATCAGTCGCCCGGGCCTCCTGAGAGTACCCAATTATGTGCTGTAATAAATAAATAATTTTCACATGATTTTGAAAAATATTGCAAAGTGTGTCACATCTGTTTTTTCTATGTTTGTGATTTTTAAGCTAAGAATGAAATTCGTTAATCAATTTGTGTTTATTCGGCTACCATAAGGTAGCAGTTAACTGCCACTTGTCGCATCATTTTGAGTTTAGATGTTGTTTGCAATTTTAATTGTCGAAATGGGCAAAGCGGGCAGGGCAAAGCGGGCACTTGTCCGGTTTGTCCTTCTAGTGTATTTACTAAATATCTATAGTTGTTTCGAAAAGAAGAACAAAGGCAATGTGGAGTCTGTGAAACAAATTATAAAAGAAGAACTTGCTGAAGATAAAACGAAGTCTAAGAAGTGAAAAAACCAAAAAGAAAAATACGACATATATCGCTTTAAAAAAATTATATTTCGAATTACCAAACGTCAATCCAGGGGACCTTCATATTTATATTCATATCTAGTCTACAGTTTTTACAAAAAAAAAAAATTATAAAGTTGAGTAACTTTTACATCACACTTTAATCGGCACATTGATGCATTTTTTACTTCCCGAGCGTAAGCAAAGGAAGTATTGTAATCGAGTCCGTCGGCCGACTCTCTACTTTTACGTTTTCTCGATCTTTCATGACCCCTAGAAGACGAAGAAATAGGTCTCCCATTTCCGTCTGTCTGTCCGTCTGTCCGTCTGTCCGTCTGTCCGTCCGTCTGTCCGTCCGTCTGTCCGTCTGTTGTCCCGGATTTTTATTAGACAGATAATCTCCGAAAGTACTCGACCGATTGTTGTGAAATTTTGTACTTATATTAAGAATATCATGTAGATGGTAAAACGCTAACCAAAATTTGTCTAATCATCCCCACCACTAATGCGATGACGTCACTTCAAAATTGTACATAGTAAATGGGTTTTCAATTATATAAAATAACATAGTCCTACACATGTAGTTTACAACTCTGAATCGACTTTTCACCCGAAACGTCCAGATTTTTGGAAAAAAAATCAAAATTATAAAACAACATTTTGAAATTTAATTTTTAATCTGCTAACCAGAATGCTTTGAAATGTTGCAGATGTTTTAAGGCTATAAAGAGCATCATAAATCTTTAGTCAAAAAATATTTGCTTATCCCCTCCAAAAACTTGATGACGTCAGCTCAAAAGTTTGTGGAATAAATCATATCTAAAATGTACAAAATATGATGAGTCTGTACTTGTGATCTATCACTCCATTCATATTTTTTGGATTTGCATATACAGGGTGACTCAAAAAAATTAATGAATGCGTAAATTTATTTTACTGATTTACTCAAAAACTACAAAACCGAATGCTTTGAAATCTTGCAGATGTTTTAAGGTTATAAAGAGCATAATAAATGTTTAGTCAAAATATATTTGCTTGTCCCCTCCAAAAACTTGATGACGTCAGCTCGAAAGTTTGCCGAATAAATCATATCTAAAATGTACAAAATATGATGAGCCTGTACTTGTCATTTATCACTCCATTCATATTTTTTGGATTTGCATATACAGAGTGACTCAAAAAAATTAATGAATGCGTAAATATATTTTATTGATTTAATCAGGAACTACAAAACGGAATGCTCTGACATCTTGCAGATGTTTTAAGGTTATAAAGAGCATAATAAATGTTTAGTCAAAATATATTTGCTTACCCCCTCCAAAAACTTGATGACGTCAGCTCGAAAATTTGCCGAATAAATCATATCTAAAATGCACAAAATATGATCAGTCTGTACTTGTGATCTATCATTCCATTCATATTTTTTGGATTTGCATATACAGGGTGATTCAAGAAAA